CATTATTTTGAGGAAAATATATGCAAACAGTATTCACCATAGTGGATAGCATTCAGTAGTTCTCCATGTTTGGAATGTCAGAAATGAGAGATGTACAGTTTGTTGACTTAAATGTCAGATTTAGTGGCACTTTGAATTAGTTAACCTAACCATTTGCCTTCCATATACATACATACATGTGAAAGAAAAGGCAGTACTCAAAGGTGTAGCCTTAAAAGATAAGAAAGACGGGTGAAGGTAGGAAGGAGAATGATTTGAGGAAAAGTTAGGAGGGTGAGATGGTTGGAGGTTTGAAAGTGGAAAAAGGAGGACATGAGCCGCAAAGGGAAACTGTTGCATAGCACTAGGAAATACAATGGTATACATGTGCAAAACAATTTGTATTTACAGGGATGGAGAAGGCTCATAGCATGATACCTTGAGGAGTTGAACAGATGAGGCCGATTTGGGGGGGAAGAGGAAGCAGTAAGGAGTCCCTTTTGGGGAGGGTCCTTGTTGACACAGAAGATGAGCTGTCTATTAGATGCCACTTGTGCTGATAGTGATATAGTGCGTAAATTTCAGGTGTTCCACAAAGGTCTTGAATTTTTGATAGATTATCTGGTCCTCAATAAGGGTGTATAGTTCGCACGGCCAAGGATACCCACATTCCACAATAGTCCTACGAAGGTTTGCATGGTGGTGTGAGTGACCCAGGCAGATGAAGATTAAGTGTATTGGATCTTCATTCTCATTAGTATCACAGAGGAACAAACCGTTCCCCTTCCTCAAGAACCTGTAGAGGTAGGCTCTGAAGTTGCCACGTGCTGTAAGAATTTGGATCATGATGTGATTGGTAGTAAAATGGTAGTTGCTGATCCTATGAGAGATGATGGGGGAAAAGTTGTGGGTGAGACGCCCTGTCAGGCTTTCATCCTACTCCTTCTGCCAGCAAGACATTAAAATTGAGTCCAGCTTACCTTGAAACCAGGACAGGGGGATCGAGGAGTAGCTACACACCGTGGATAAAGAGGAGGCCTTTTTGGCCAGGTTGTCCACCTTGTCATTTCCACTGCTTCCTGAGTGGCCCTTGATCCAGTAAAATTTTATATTGACAGTATCTGAGATTTCATATAGGATCTTTAAGCTACTGTTGATAATGGGAAGGCAGCAGCTACGCTTACGAATCTGGTAAAGGGCGACTCTACTGTCGCTGATGACGTTAATATTTTTACTGTTGTAACTGGTTATATTATCCTGGATACGTCTAAGGATGGCTAGCGACTCAGCTTGGTTCATGGAGCAAGATGGATCCAGCTTATAGTCACCTTGCCAGAAGGTTTTCTTCATTGGGTCATCGAGGATAACAGTCGTGCCTACAGCTTCTAGAGATTTGGATCCATCGGTATAGTAGTTTATACTTTGTGGGATGGTGGATTGATGGAGACAGATGTTGGGGTCTGGATCATTGGCAGGATGATGGGTATGCAAGTCATAAGGCTGGTATACACGGTAAGGAAATCCTTTGAGGATTAACCGTGATTTTTTTTTCTATCTATCCATTTTTAAATAAAAATAATTCTTTATACGCTGGGAGATATTTTAATAAGTTTTGTAAATTACTATGTTTGATCCAGCCAGTTATATCCGAGTTTTTTTCGTCTGTTAAGCACATCCTTTGAGGATTTCCTTACCGTGTATACCAGCCTATAGTTAATATCCAGTCCATGGTCCAGGAGGAATTTTCCTAGGACACATGTCTGCAGGCAGTTTAAACTTTTAATTAGAAACTGAAAATGGTCCATGTCAATTTCTGATATGGTAGTTGCTTTAGCTTGTGAAACAGGTATTTCTTCAGGATGACCCAATGGATGGGAGTCATCCCTGCAATGATGAGGAGGACATCAGTGGGTACAGTCCTATAGAATTTGGTGATGGCAACTGCTGCGGTGCGCTGTGCAGAGAGGAGCTTTTTGCGGATATGCACCTTCTGAACAGCACACCCCACACCTCACATGCGTATTGAGGATAGGTTCAATAGCCCCTTTATAAATAGTCTTGCTGTGCTTGGAGTCTAAGCCCCAGAGGCTCCTAGAGATATGCTGGAGTAAAGAGTTCATCTTTGTCACTTTATCATATATATAATAGGTGTGGTCCTTCCAAGAGAGTTTTGGGTCAAATAGCACACCAAGATATTTGATGTTATTTGCATTTTGAATCCTGTGATCATTAATTTTAATTACTGGCATCTTTTTCAGGAGGTTATCCTTCGGAAAGACCACGGCACATTTACTGTAGTTGATGTTTAGATGGTGGTTTACACTCCACTTGTAGATCTCTTTTAAGAAATTGTTAGTTAGGTTCTGTAGGGTCGTTTGGTTGGAGCTTGAGGAGGAGGAGGACCAAATCATCAACATAACCCTGCATGTATGGGTTGCCAATAGAGATATGGCCCGAAGACAGCCTCAGCAGCCTGTTGTACAAGATATTCCACAGGGGGGCCTGATTTCAAGCCTTGTGGGCAACCCCTGGAGATGGCAGTCCTGTGTAGTGATTTCCCCTTCTCAATAGCCACTGCATACCTTTCCGAGAGGTAGCTCCTTAGGAGCATTAGGATGTTATGTGGGCAATTAGCTTGAACCAGTTCGTATAAGATGGCTGGCCACCAGACGTGGTCGAACGCACCTTTAAAATCAATTGAGACCATGATTGAATGGTTCCCAGTATCCTTGGCAGCCTGGACATAGTCCACAATTTTGCCCATTGCTTGAGGGGCACATCTGCCCTTCCTAAAACAGTATTGACAGTTGTCCAACCATTTGTTGGTTTCTAAGTGGTGTTGGATTCTATTTGCCATGAGAGCATCCAGGATCTTGCCAATTATCTACAGTAGTGAGATGGGACAGTAATCTGAAGAAGCATTTGCAGGTTTATTTTTGTCTTTCAAGATCAGTTTAACAGAGGCCTCCTTCCAAGTCCTGGGAAAGTAGCCCGAGCTCAGGAATTTGTTGAAGAGAACCAAAAAGGTTGTAGGAATTGCCATATAGGCGTGTTGGGCCATCCTCCAAGTAATACCATCTGGTCCTGGTGCTTTCCGTTTTTTTTTTGCCTTCCATATACAGTCAGTCAGTCAATATCTTTATTATATACAACAGTTTGTACATGTCCGGCTCCGCATGGCACTACCGGGAATGAAAACCAGATAAAGTAGTTGTTAACTTGTTTACAATACAGGAATTAGAGATATCAAGAAGTAGGTTGGAATAGTATACAAGAGTAAATACAATGGTGATGCAGGTATAGCAATGATGTTGTAGTTAAATACAATTTGTTAACAGTATAAGGTACATACAGAATTACGAAGTGATAGATTTTGAAAGCTATACAAGTACAGACACTATGCAATATTACAAGTGTTAATGCAAAATAAAACATAAGTGTATAAGTGTAGAAGGAAAAAGCACATAAAATACATAAAATTGAGTACAATACAGCAAATAAAGTAATGATGCATTATAATAGAGTGTAAAATACAATTTGAGTATAGAATACAATACATAAGAGAACTAATATGAACCATTACATTACAACTTTGAAAACAGTAGCAGTTAGGTGGCATATGTACAGTATTTACAGATGTCCGTAGCAGTGGCGGAGGTAATGAAAAGAACAAAGCCTGGTGAGGAACTACTCATGTGTGGTGATGGGTGACACTTGCTCATAAGCAAGCACTAGGTTACGAAAAGCTGTATAAAGATCCTTGTGTTTAAGGAGATCGTGTTGCTGACACGGCCAGGAGATGTTTAATTTCTGTGCAATTAGTTCAATTTTGAGACGTTCCCTTTCAAGGCACACGCATCTGTAAAGATAGTGGTTGGGACCATCCACCTCCTGTCGGGAGGTGGATTGTCCCAACCACTATCTGCCCAACCACTATCTACAGATGGCACAAAGGGGAGTACATTTATCCATAAAGCAATGGAGATAACTAGAAAATCTCCCATGACCAGTAATAAACTGAGTAAGGAGAGAATTGATATTAATCCAGGTATGGCAGTGGTGCTCGGTGATATTAGGTATGAATTGGTAGGTTCGGTTACTATGGTTGTTGTCCCAAGAGTTCTGCCAGCAGAGAAGAATATCATTATACAAAAGACTTTTGATTTTGCTATGTCTGAGCATGTTGTATATGGGATCCAACATATTATCATTGGCAGCAGCCTTTGCCAGCTGATCTGCTCTTTCGTTTCCAGCAGTGCCTTGGTGCCCACGGACCCAGCTGATACTATAACTGTTTGAGGAAAGACAAGTGAGATTTTTTATTGCTGTTGTGATAGGGTGAAGCTGTCTGCTGTTAATGAGAGCAATGGCAGACTGGCAATCTAAGAAAATGGCTATCTGTTGGTTATCGAGATGCTGTTCAGACCAGTCAATTGCCATATGAATGGCTTTGAGCTCAGCCTGAAAGACGCTGCCTAAATTGTGGAGCCTGTAAATCTGGTGGTATAATTTTAATGCCCTTTTCTTAATTTTTATATTATTTTGTAACAATATATACAGTGTTAAAAATGATAATTATTTTTATCATTCAAAATGGAACTGAATAAAACACAATCAATTCACCAAAAAGTGCTTTTACAGAGTTCAAAACACTGGAGTTTCTACAACTCATCTTTAGAGATATTAACACTCAAAATAAAAAGTCAGTCATTAAAAATTACACCTTCAAGCAAATCAGTCAGAAAATAATCAGGTATCAGTTTAAAATACATCATTTATCAAAAATAAATGTCCTGTTAGCCTTCTAAATTAAAAAAAAAACCCATTTAGAAGGTGAGCTGGATAGTTCTTTGTTAGAAAATGATATAATAATTATTTCTCATGAAAAATAATTATTTCATTCATGATAAACTGAACAAATTAGATTTTTTGAAAATTTTAAATAAATGAAAATCATTAATAATTTATAAATTTATTAAATAACACGAGCAATTTAAATATTATTACACTACAACACTCACTTTCTACTCTGTGATTTGATGATTTCATGGGAAATTTAATACAACCTTGCATATCTGAGGATAACTGAATTCCAGGCGGCCATGATGATGCTGAACAAAACATGCATATAAAAGACAAATACAAGCCAAACAAATCACTCACTGTTCAATTTATATTTTCATATCTCAATTTATAATCCACTGATTAGTTGGTCAATTCAAATATTATGATGGAAAATAAAAGGATAAAACATTAAATTAATTTATTACTACATCATAACTTCAGAAATTATTCCATTCAAGCTTTTTAAATTTAATTAACACTGGCACTTAAAATAGAATAAAACATCAGATAGAAATACAAAGCATTTGAAGAAAAGTTTGGATATTTGAGAATGAAATTCTGTAATGAAAGAAATGATAAGAACTGTTAGAAACCTGTGTCAAATGTATAACCAATTATGTTCTTATGTATAAATTTTAATATAAAACCATTTGCTTATATCAAATTTATATATGGAGATATATAGCAGATTTTCTTTTATATAAAAACTTTCATACATAAACTACACACTTAATTTGCATTTAACATACTGCAAAATGAGTAAAATCTCTAACAATTTTACTGCATGTTACCTCTCCAGTTTTATGGAGTTTTATTTCATTCTCAAAATAAAATTATTCAAACTTTTTTTATACATAATGATTTTATCATATACAGAAGAATTGTTTCAATAAAAATTCAGAAAAAAATTACCTAATATAAAAAATTTCAGTTAATTTATATTACTTGATATTTCAGATTTGAGGATGACCAAAGGGATCAAAAATAAATGTTATGTATATTGAAGTTATTTCTCACCACCTTTGGTTCAAATTTTGTTCAAAATTATACTGCACATTACAAATGATTATACACTAGATTTAAATACAAATTTGAAAATTCTAATTATTACTCTGCCACATGCTGTAACTTCTGCAAACTCTCCAACCCCCTTCTTCTCATGCTTAATGTTTGTTGTTTAGCTTTTCCATTTTTTCACATTCTCTGTTCTTTTAGGTTAAAGTATTTAGACTTGTCCCCATTCACATATCCTTGTTTTGGATGAAGACAGAGAATGTGTAATTGGGAACAAGTCATTTTTATTTTTCATTATTTCTTATCCTGCCCTTTAGTCTATATTGTTTTCATAGGATTAGAGATGCTTCATCTTTTTAATTAGTATGCACATTATATACGAGGCGTGTTTTTAAAGTAAGTACCGTTTTGAAATATAAAAAAAAAACAAGCAAACATTTTTAACAAAATTTTTATTTATGTGAAAGCCCATATTTTACACTACTTTTCTACATAATTCCCATTAATATTGAGACACTTATCGTATCGTGGGACCAGCTTTTGTATTCCATCCTCAAAGAATGTTGCCGCCTGATGTGACAACCACTGCAGAACGGTCATTTTGACTTCGTCGTGATTGTTATGGCGCTGCCCTGCCAGATGCTTCTTCAAATGCAGAAACAAATGATAGTTACTCGGCGCTAGGTCGGGACTGTATGGAGGGTGGTCTAATTGTTCCCAGCCAAATGATGTGATTAGGTCTTGAGTTTGATTTGCCGTATGTGGACGAGCATTATCGTGGAGCAAAACGACACCCTTGCTCAGTAAGCCCCGCCTTTTGTTTTGTACTGCACGGCGCAGTTTTTTTAAAGTCTCACAGTATGCAGCTGAATTGATCGTTTCACCATGAGGCAAAAAATCAACAAGCAACACTCCGTATCTGTCCCAAAACACCGTGCACATGATTTTCTGAGCAGAAATTGTTTGCTTGAACTTGACTTTCCTTGGAGATGATGAATGTCGCCATTCCATGGATTGTTGCTTTGATTCCGGTGTAACGTAGGCTACCCACGTTTCATCGCCTGTAACAATACGACTTAAAAAATCATCTCCTTCGTCACTGTAGCGCTCAAGAAAAGTCAATGCACTGGCCAAACGTTTGGTTTTGTGCTCCTCCGTCAACATTTTCGGCACCCAACGGGAACACAACTTCCGATAATTTAATCGTCCGGTCACAATTTCATAGAGAACACTTCTTGAAACTGCAGGAAACTCTTTAGATAAAGATGAAATCGTGAATCGTCTGTTCTCTTTCACTCTACAGTCCACTTTTTCAATCAAATCGTCGATAATGACTGAAGGTCGCCCACTTCGTTCCTCATCGTGAATGTTTGTGCGGCCATTACTAAAGGCCCTAACCCATTTTCGTACCATTCCTTCACTCAACGCTTTCACCATAAACTTCACTGATTTGGCGATGAATTTCAGCCGCTTTCGAGCCTTTAGCACTGAGAAAACGAATAACGGCACGCACTTCGCAGTCGGCGGGATTCTCAATGAGCAGCGGCATTTCAATAACACACAAACAACAGTAAACACAGTTGACTGGCTCCGTAACGGTGTTTGTGGCTTCCCAACAGATGTAGGTACACAGCGCGCATGCACTAAGTGCCAACTGCAGCGCTCCAGCGGCGTTATATTAAAACGGTACTTACTTTAAAAACACGCCTCGTATATACATAGTACGATCCAAAAGTTCGGGGACTTGGCTTAAAATTCCTTACCTTAAAAAGTTTATATTGCCAATGCACAACCACCTTCAAAGTAATCACCTTGGGCAATGATATACTTTTGCCAGCACGTGTAGAACTTCTGGAAGAACTGCTGAAAGCCATTTTTTGAAACCTCCTGTAAGGCCTCCTGCAATTCTGCTCTCACCTCATCTGATGACACAAAACGACATCCCTGCAAATGCTTTTTCATTGATGGAAACAAAAATCACACAGGGCTAAGTCTGATGAATAGGCGGGGTGTGGAAGCACATTAATTTGAGTTTTGGCGAGAAACTGTGTGACCATTTGGGACAGATGTGCAGGTGCGTTGTCATGCAGAAGGTACCAGTCTCCACTTTGTCAGATCTGCAGTCGTTTATGACAAATGGATTCCTTCAAGCAATGTAAAATGTCTAGATAATGCTCCTTGTTTACTGTTCTGCCTTCAGGAATAAATTCTGAATGAACAATTCCTTGAGAATCAAAAAACACTTCCATAGTGACTTTCCCTTTGCTCCGATCATGCCGGAATTTCTTGGTGAGGAGGTGATTTCCATGTTGAAGAAGCACGTTTTGATTGGATATCCAATAAATAACACCACGTTTCATCATTTGTTATGATGTGGTTCAAAAAAGCTGGATCGTTATCGGCTTTGTCGATTAAATCACCCGATATTCTCATTCGTTCTTCCTTTTGTTCAGAAGTTAAAAGCCTAGGGACAATGTGCTGAAACACTCAGTGAATGTTAAGATGTTCAACTAGTTTTTGATAAGTGAGTAGCCGCAGCAATTTTTTCAAGGTTTTGGCGATGATCTTTGCAAACCCATTGCAAGACCAATTCAACTCTTTCCTTGTTCTGTGAAGTCGAAAGTCATCCAGAGCATTCATTGACTGCAATGAATTCTCGGCCCTCTTTAAAACGCCAATGCCATTTGTACACCTTTGGTTTCACCATGGTAGAATCACAGTACACTTTTCTTAGCAATTTTAAAGTCTCCATAGGTGTTTTACCTAAACGCTGACAAAATTTAATGTTGCAGCGCTGTTCTTGAAACTCCATTTTTATTATGTTGCAAAACAAAGGTAACTATCTCCGAAAGAAAACAACAGCGCTCGTGGTTTAATCACGTGATATGGGTGAAACCAACCTGAACATATACAGGTGGTTTGATAGAATCCATTTCATACACTGTAACTTCAAATACATGCTTTTGTTGTCATACATTACTGCAGTCCCCAAACTTTTGGATCATACCACGTATATGTCATAAAATTTAGTTTAGTAAAATTTAGTTAATTTAGAGATTTCAAAAATCAAAATTAACACACTAGATTTCAAAAGAAAATTACCACACTAATTGGATCAGCACTAATCAGGGAATAGATTTAAAACCGACAATTTGTTTGAAAAAAAATTTATTTAAAAATAATTAGGATTTAGTAATAAAGTATAGAAGAATCATANAAAAAAAAAATATTCAATATTGTTTGGAGTTGTTTCATCTTTTCTACATGAAGCTCTCAATAACATCAAATTACATTTTCTAATGTTCTTTGTGCATTAATGCTGTTTTTCATTTGATTCTTACTTAAAATTACATCAGAATTAGTCTCACTGTCTTAAACATTTTTATAAGTTCTGGTAAATTCATAAAAATGTTTAGGTTATTGTGGTCTGGGCTGATAAATGCAGTGTAGTTAAAAAAAAATCAATTTTTTAAAACCAGTACATAAAGATATATGCAACATATTCTTGTTTTTTCTAAAACAAAATCTAACACTAACTGAAATCTTTGTAATCATTTCTGAAAAGATGAAAAATTACATCTGAGAAAATATATTATTTTTATTAAAACACTGTCAATATTTTTTCACAATCTTATATGAAAACATTCAATACTTTCCTTTCTATCTTAAAATAAGATTAAGCTCTGATTTTGTATTTATTTTATTGATATTAAAATTCTTCTTTCTAGTCAATCAATTTCCTTATAACAAATAAAAATTAGTGTGTAAGATACAAGTTCAAAAATTAATTCAAAATTATTCTTTGAAAGTGTTATCTGCTCTAGAGCACAAGCAACAAACATTCCATAAATTGTTCTAAATAATATACTCAATACATTAAAGATTTACACCTTAAAAAGTTTTAATACAGAAAACATTACTTAAAATAATAGATATATTTTTAGCTCTTAAATAGCTAACAAAGAACAGTACTGTAAGGTCTCGTTTTATGCGGTGGATACGTTCTACAGAAAAGTGCATATAAAAAATTCGCATAAAAAAAGACTTTACTTGCCTTGAAAAAGTAGGGATACGTTCCGTAATTTTCTAAAATCGCATAAAACCAAAACAAAGAGTTAAAATTAACTTAAAACCGCATAAAAAAGTTTGCAGAAATTAAAAGAAATAGGCTGCTTAATTAATAAATTACTTCGAATGTCTGAAAGAAATTCATATAAAATTTAATTTCAAAACAATTACAGTTTATACCTTT